AATAATAGCAATAATAATAATTAGCAGCCAGCTCGAGCTTATAACTCATCGCGCGATTATGCGAGCTTATAATCATCGTGTCGATTATTATTTTCAAGATTTTCAGATATGCTCCGTTGCAGCCGATTACGTAAGCGCGTTTGTCAATTATTATAGATCAAGTTGGAAGACTCGGCGATTACAAAGGGATAACAAGACGATATTTCATGCTCGCGGCTCTAAGCGGCAATTATCTAATAAATAACACCACGGCGTTCGCCACGTGTATTCATTAATAAACTTGACCCTGCCGTTATTACCCGTTCGTATCCGCATTAAATTAAAGCGATTAATTGTTTACGCGAATTGTTTACCGCAGACAGACGCGTGCGTTTGTTGATTTTCAACCAAACGAATAATTGCGGACATACAATCGCTAAATATTTATTTTAGCACAGTGGCGTAAGCCAAATTTTGGAAAACAAATGCAATTAATCTGTTGGGATTCGATGCGATGCTATTTCAGCAAAATTACAACGAAATCTCCCGTTTCTTTCTCCCTCTTTTAACATAGTAGTACGATTGCCGAACAAAGACGCAATGGGAAAGGAAACGATTGTTCGTTCGTTGAAGAATGCCGTTCGTATCGTATTCCACGGATATTATCGCAAATTATCGATCTGATAAAAATAGTAAAATCTCACATATAGCCGTTTGTCTATTCATCTCAAAAGAGCATCTGTTGAAACAAAGTTCAGTGTCGCGGCATCATTTAGAAATTTTTCCCTTTGCGAATTAAGCAATTAGATTGCTTACCGAATAATTGATTAAAGGCGGAGCTAGACACGATTTCGAGTGACAAGCGAAAAAAAAAGAATGCCGCTAAATCTTTGTACAGCTGGAAGCCTGCGCAGCGCAAAGATGGATCAACCTTTCGCCTTGCGATTATGTAAGACCTCGGACTGACTGACCTTTAGGTTCGTTCATGGCATGCGGCATTTACGTAATTTACCAATTACGATGTATTAGAGTCTGTTTGAGTTGCGCCTGGAGAACAGTTCTCCCTCTAACGTCGATATATTTTTTGAATGTACGCCAAACGTATATCAAATTACATACAGCACGCGTTCACGAAATTGTTAAATAAGCGAATTAAATATATTATATAAATATAAATATATATATATATGTGTGTGTGTGTGTGTGTGTGTGTGTGTGTGTGTGTGTGTGTGTGTGTGTGTGTGTGTGTGTGTGTGTGTGTGTGTGTGTGTGTAGTGTGTGTGTGTGTGTGTGTGTGTGTGTAGTGTGCGTGTATATAGTGTGTCTATAAATAAATAATAAATTGGAGGCATATCAAAACCCACGAAAAAATCGACGCAATTATTCTTTGTGCGATTTTTGGGCGACCGAACGAAGCGATCTTTTCAATCTTCCTTTGGAGAAAGGAATAAAGAATGGGAGATAGACGCCAATGATAACAATGGAGTAAATAAGCTGCGGACTGATGTTACATTGCTATTTGTATAAGCTTCATATGTATTCCAGTACAGTGCTAGTATTGAAAATCTATATGTAAAATATATATATGATATAAACGATATATTTTCTATCAAAAAAAAGTTCAGCTCGTTATTTTAATAAAATAATGAGAATATTAAAAGGCAATTTGCTCTAATCAGATTTGTCATTCAATTTCTTTCCGTTTTTCGTCTGATGTTTTTTTGGTTCCACTAGTCAAATTATTTATATATTATTCTTATCAAATTCATATGGACAAAGAAAAGAAATTTCTTCAGTGGAATTTTTGTCTTTAAGCATATTTTCAGTCCCATGGAGCATTTCTTTTTTTTTTTTTTTTAAAGACTTTAAAGAGTAGACACCACAGACGCGCATTACGTGCACAATATTTATTTTTTTAAACAAAAGAAGCAAAAATTATATAAATATATATACTATCACTATACTAAGAAATATATCACTATACTAAGAAAGATATCGATAATATCGACCGCAATATCGACCGAAGATCTATCCGATAGATGGCGACGCATACGTTTTCACGGCGGCGGCACGTCGGCGTATTTCAAAGGGCTTGTAGCACACGTGTTTTCCTACC